TTTTCCTCCAAATCTTTTTCTAACAATTTTGTATTTATCTCTCTCCTGTCATTGGTCGTATAATCGATCCCAAAATGTCGAAAAGGGTGGTCTGGTGACAAGCGCGCATCGGTGATCGCATTATACAAAACGCATCGTTGATGCGATACCGCAAACACGTGCATAGGAACTAAAGCGCGCAATCAGCGGAGAATTTATCCATTACACGCGTCGACTAATTGCTAGCTATTCACGGGTGGCAAAGATGGTCAAAGGTTGCCGAAGAATTCATCGCGCTCGAAACTCGTTTGCCCACAACTTTTAATATCGCGCGTGGCATCGTTGGAAACGGTGCTTAAGCGGAATCGTGGCTGATGATTTTATCCGATGACTAAGATTCACTAGCGCTCGCGCGCACGCTTCGACCGCGATACAAATTTATTGATAACTTTTCGGTATCGTTGACGCCAATCTGAAAGGTTTATCGATATTCCGTCGACCGCGGAAACTATTTATTAATATCCGCGGGCGGTCGATCGAACAGAGAATCCCGGTCGTTGCGAACAAGCAACCACAATTAGGATTTAACGATTGCGCAAGCCGATTGCGTGGTCCGTTGTCCGAGTAAATCGATTACAGCTAATTGTTCGTAATAAGAAAGAGTCGCGATCTTGACGATTTAATACGACTCGCTTGGAAATAAAAAGATTCGAGTCGTCGTCAACTTGTTCGCACATCCGTGGCTGCGAATCTTTCCTAGCTTTTCTTAAACCTGGTTTAATAAGCTCGAATAGTTCGCCGTGGCGAGATTATACCACTGAAATCAAGACGACAAATTTATCACGTAAAGATTATTGTAAATGGAATTTCATCTTGCGCGATATTTATTTTACTGTTATAAGGAAACGTGATTGTAACAGTAATTTTGGGTATTACCGCGGACTATCAGCCATCGATAGTGTTATCAACGTGCATTATTTAAATACTTCTCATCCTTGTAGACGGTCGGTATCTTAAACCTTCATTTTCAAACGAACCGCGTGTCTTCTGGTATTTCCTAGTTTCTTAATTATGCGTTTACCAGAAAATCAGATAATATTCTTAGGGAATCTGTTTAGCTGGGGATAAATAGACAGTAGAATTTTTGAAGGAGCAAGCACGTTTACCGGAGTGAATAAACAGAAGAAATCTTGATTGTGGGCAGCGTGGAAAAGAAGAAGAGGGGTGGGTAAGAGTGAGCGAGAGAGACAAAGAAAGATCGATGCGTCTCGGTTCCCATGGATTGGGCACGAGGAGAATGAAGCCACCAGTCGGTGGATAATTGGGCCCTATAAGTATTTACCACCTTTCAATTTTGATGGTCGGTCACTCGTCTCAACAGGGGTCTGCTGGTACCCTATTGTCTCGTTTCTACTGTACCTAGTCGTCGTATCCTTGGGAATTCCCCGGGAAAATCCCAAGGCCTTCGCACGTCTGAAGTTTCCTTGGTCTGCGACTGAAACATGTGTTTCGGATTGAAACGAATCACCTTCTCGAAACATTACACCTGATTTTAAACAGCCGTCGGCTAGGACTCGAAGAACACCTACCGATCGTAAATCACTTGCAAAATACTATCTTCTATTGGTTACCGGTGTTCCGTTACGGATCTGTAAATAGATACTCGTATAAATAATCAGACAGCCTGCTTCACCCATCGCGAGGGTAACAATAATCTTTGAAGAAGATACTGTATGTTCGGAAGGAAAAACTTTACTATCTAGTTTTTTTTTGTTTTAGAATATATATTTCGGATAATATAATGTCTTAGATAGGATTATGTATTGTGGAAATTTGATTAAAATTAATTCCCAATAGTATTTGTCCAATAACGATATAATAGAGGAAATAGATGTAACCAGAAAATTTATAACTGAAGTAATATTCAACATAAACGAGAGAGATAATTCACTTTCAGTGCAGTAACAAGATGTTGTATATTTAACAAGTCTGATAGTAAAACCCTGAACATCTATTTTTATTTAATTAAAGTATTGTTATGGAACACTGTTCAAATTGATGCAATTTACATAATCACGTACGCAAAGTATTATCTGCCACAATTATGCGTTACATAATGTTTAATAAAAGCTCGAATAAACAATAAAATAGGAAATTAAAGTGAAATATAATAAAAATTATGTTAAGCGCGTGAAAAGAAAAGCACGTCCATTTGGAAACGGAGGAACATGAATGTAATACGAGAGATTTGATCGATGTTAAAGTGGCATAAATTCGGGTGGACTTCGGTAACAAAGTCGCATCATTATCTGGGTCTAATGCCACGAAACCTCCATTGTCGCAACGGCAGATTATGGTGGGCGCTTTCGTTGGCCGGCTATTGAAAATCTGAAACCGGGTACCAACCCCTTTAGTCAGGCGACTATCAGGTAATGACCGGTATATGGATCGACGTGACGCAGACGGATGGATGGCGGATCGCATCCGGAAAAACCCAGGGGCCGAGCTACGAGAATGTGAACGAGAATGATGTCTTTCTAAAAACTCGTAATCCCGCTTTCCTGTAATCCGATTTAACTAGGGCCAATCGGCCGGTGGCGATCGTGTAACGGAACGAGCGATTGCGAACGAGAGCAATTGACGGCATCGACCGGCCGAGATTATATTTCCTTCTATTTCACCCCTGGTGATGCGATACTAAGAAACTTATCCAAAATAAATATTCCACAGAAGGTCAGGACGATCTTCTTTACATTTATTTTCATTTGGAAAAGTTTTGTACAGCTGTAGGTTATTGGTCAAAATTTAAAAGTATTGTGTTTATGTTATTCATCTGTTTTTGTTTATGCGAACATTGTGTGATATTATACTTACTGTGATATTAATTATGCCAATGAAACTATTTAATTCAATTACCACATATACACTGAAAACTTCTGCTTCAGAACACCGAGTTGGATCGGTAGTTAATAATCTAAAAATTACTGTATTCGCAAACCGAGTTTCAAATTTGTCTACCTGGTTTCAAAACCATGCACTATATAATACATTGCCTAACAAAATTAGTTTTGCAATTTACCACGGATGAAAACGGGCGTGTTAAAGAGTTTAAACAGAATTATTCCGACACTTTTCAATCGCCGTATAATTTGTTCTTTCATATCTTAAACGGCGAATAGGAATATCTGTTATCTATAGAGATATATGCGTTATTATCTTTCAACCATACGTATCTCAAACTGCAAAGGAAGTAACACGTAAATTGCAAGCAAGTGATTCGACACCACTTCCATGATCTTAATTAAAGGGGTTGCGTTTAAAGCAATCCGGGAGAAGCGAAAACTAGTGTCTTTGAAAGAAGCCTTCGTCGAATATCCCTGAACAACTGACTCGACACTTCGGCCTGGATACGTCAGAGTTACAAATCAGAATATTTATCACGAGTCTGGAGTTCCTGCGGTGGCTGTGCGCGCTCGATAAAACGGAGACGCCTTCGGCGCCGTCGCGCGTCCTCCGTTTCTCGATACACACGTACCTGTCGCCTTGACGAGAAATGAAATCTAGTCGCGTGTCAATAGAGGGCTTCCATCCGTATTGGCGATATCGCAGAACCATATTCTCCAGATTCCGAGAACGGAAGTTGCGAGAAAAACGCAAATCCCGTAGAACCTCTCGATTTTGCAAAGAAAAAGTAACAGATTTTTTCAGCAAAATATTTTACTTTAGTCTCATACCTATCTTCAGATTTTATAAAGTAATCTATATAATCTCGCCTTATTGAAAAATAAAAAATTTCATATTAATGGATAATTAAAATTCGCATAGTGAATGCGACAGATGCAACTCCGTGAATCGAGGCTCTACTATACCACTGGATGCAGTGCACTCTACAATTTAGCACCCCTTTCAAGGACAATACAGTGGAATCTCAGTGGCGATTCATCTCACATAGTTTGTAAGTATAATTAATATTCTCTCCATTTTGGTTCATCTTCCTATAAATTCAATGATTCTATAAACGATAAACATAAATGACCATTAACATTATTATAAGCAACACTAGATCTTACACGATACAACCACGATATTCTCATGTCTCTTCTACACCAGTGTCGCGCATCTATCAAGGTTCTACGGTACATGTACAGGGAACAAGCATTACCGAAAGATTCCCGCAAACGAAACCAAAGAACCGTCGACAAATCCGGAAAAGCGATACAACGAACAAATCCGTCGCAGCGATCACAAGTGTCGGCGGCGGGGTTAGCGATCGGCGAAAATGGCATCGCGTGGTAGTGAACGGAGCCAAAAAGCCGAGCAAGCGAGCGAGCGGGTTGACGCGGACCTTGCGGGCCCTGTATCAACGAGGTCTGGCGGAAAGCAGTTCGCCGGAGAGATCACGGCAGCAGGAGCAACAGAAGGTAGGGAACGGCAGCAGTTGAACGTGAGGATCATGCCGGTCACCCCGTCCTTGCCAACAGCAGCAGCACCAGCAGCAGCAGCAACCCCTCTACGTCGACGCTCTTCATCCCGCGTTCATCCGAATGCATCGATCGTTCTCTCTCTGTCTCTGTTCGCGTCGAATGGTGGGGCGCTAAAGACGGACAGCTATAGCGGGAGTGAAGTATCAGTCGTGGTAGGGGTAGAAGACGGCTGGAGGGGCGAAGGACGAACTCGTCTGATCGTCCATGGTGGGGGATAGAGAATGTAGAGAAGGGAGAGCGATCGGCGGTGCTGGGCCAGCACGTGGTAGGGATAATTAAACCGACACAAACGTGAGTACGGACGGCGGTGTACGGAAGAGCAAAGAAAGGTTACCATGGCTACGTGGATGGGATCCGGCCAATCCCGGTCTGGCTGGTGGGCGTGGCTTCTACATTGGCCCCCCCTCCGAGCTCGCGTGTGTTGTCCCTGTCCAACCAACCGCACGGCTGTCCCGCGTACCGTTCGCGGCCGGGAGAAAGGACGAGGGTGCGAGGGAGAAGGAGGTAGAGGTAGGTCGCAAGAGCGGCCGGCGGGACTACCCGGTTGCAACGGGCGCGTACAAACGTATCATGCTGGGTAGGGCCGGTGCCGAGATGCCGGCTTGTAAACGAAACCAGTTTGCTATCCGATACGATCCAGGCAACAGCGGCCTCGCGTGATATCCCCACGGCATCGAGGAGGAGTAAAACGTCACCGCACTTTTTCGCCCGGTGACCCCGAGGATATCTACCTGGCGAACGTTACCTACGTCCGGGAGTCGGTTGACAGTTGCGTCGGGGATGAGACACGCCGCTAGTCCGATGGACGTAGGCGACCGGTTGTAGCACAGTCGACGATCTTTCGCCGCGTGCGTCAATTTGCAATAGTTAACCAAAGATCCGGCCAGTGCCATCTAGAAAACAGTCCAACGGAAGTGACAGCTGGACGTGCACGTCCGACCGCTTGTCAGTCGGAATTGGAGCGTCGGACAGAGACACTTGGACGTATACCGGTACCGGAAATTCTTCCAGCGCGAGCTTTCCGGTGACGTTTCTAGGCCCAGTGATCCGCGCGATCCACGAGTACGTTCAGTGTCGTTCGTGAAGTGAGGTTCCATATAAAACCAGTCCAGTGACCGAATGGAGCAGGGTGAATGATGAGTACGATGCTCCCGGCTTCATCATGAGAACTCCGAAAAGCAAGCATAAATCTGTTCGGAGAGTCTCGCGTGACGGACGATCGATGCTCTGAAGGACGAGTTAAAGAGTTTGAAAGGCGAGCACAGCCGAGCGAGACTCGCGATCTCGAGGATTGTAAGGTCGAAGGTGAAGAGATGTCAGCCGTTGCGCCAGCGGGCACTGGTGCCGCCGCGCCCACCGCGAACGGTCCGATAGTGCCAGCCCCTGTTTTCGCGTTGCCGACGTTATCGTTCACCGTCGGCCAGGTGGCCACCGTCTGCGAAACTCTGGAAGAGAGCGGCGACATCGAGAGGCTAGCCAGGTTCCTTTGGAGCTTGCCGGTCGCTCATCCGAACATCCAGGAACTAAATCAGAGCGAGGCAGTCCTCAGGGCGAGGGCGATCGTCGCGTTCCATTCGGGTCATTACAGAGAGCTGTACGCCATTTTGGAGAGGCACAAGTTCACCAAGGACTCGCACGGCAAACTCCAGGCGATGTGGTTAGAAGCGCACTATCAGGAAGCTGAGAAGCTGCGCGGCAGACCGCTTGGTCCGGTTGACAAGTATCGAGTCCGAAAGAAATTCCCGTTGCCCAGGACGATCTGGGACGGAGAGCAGAAGACCCACTGCTTCAAGGAAAGGACCAGGTCGTTGTTAAGAGAATGGTACCTGCAGGATCCTTACCCGAATCCTGGCAAGAAGAGGGAACTGGCCGCTGCCACCGGGCTCACGCCGACCCAGGTGGGGAATTGGTTCAAGAACAGGAGACAACGGGATCGGGCTGCTGCCGCGAAGAACAGGTACGTCTGCAACACTTTTTACTTCGTGTCGCGACGAATCGCGAGCATGTCTTGGATGGTAATACTCCAAACCAGAATTGGAGCGAGATTCTTGGAAAGAATCATTGATCGTTTTGTCTTTACCAAGGGATGGAACAGGATCTTTGTAGATAATTTGTAGAATAAACTGACATAGCACTGGCAACATTGAGCTGCGATCATCATGATACTATCGAAGCGAAGACAAAAATCTGTTCGACGAATTCGATTGTTAGCACCATAAGCTTTTTTAATTAATCGTCATGTTGTAGCTATTGAAATTTTGGAAGTAATACCAATAGCTGATCTTGTTAATGGGTTTTGGAGATTCTTTATTGTATTTACCTTTTTTTGGAATTGCATTCTTAAGCAGCTCCCGCTTGTCGGAGGAGTACGAATGTTTTGTTGATTAAGTAGCGTTTAATGGAAGTTAATCGCAAAACGATTAGTGGTTTAGGTCCCTTTAGTCAGATTGTTGTGCCGTGTTCTCTCTCGGCAAACGAGCCTTTGTGCCTACCCCAAGGTCCCCACGCTGGAGGGTCGCGTAATTTCATTTTGACGTCCGACGGAGGGTCGCTGCCGTCGGGCGAACAACGATTTTCGAATTACGTCTTTCAAATTGTGTTTCGTCGATGCTTTCCTCTGCTCTCGTTCCGCGGATACGTCTGCATAGGAGAAGAGTCTCGCCCGGAATCGAGTCTAAATGTAGTCCCAGTCAATTTCGGTATCGTCTCCATTCGGAGCCCGGTTATTGAACGATCTTCACCCTTTCCACGCCGCCGATAAATACCTTACCCCTTTATACATCTATCTAACGATAGTTACCCAGTCGTTTGTAACCTCAAACAACTGTATTACTGATATTCTCTCGACGATAATGATAAATATACAAATTTATAGACGTTTTGCATCAATTACATCAATTAGAATTAATATAAATTGTTAAGGAACATGAATAATATTTATGACACCATAAGTCCGTACAAATTAACGTGAATTTAGCGCTACATATATTTAAAAAACATAATTCCTAGAGAAATGTTGAGACGCTAAGCAGAAACGAAGTTTCTCTCATGAAACGTGTGAATCAAAAGAATAAGATAACGGGTTGCGAAATAAGAACGCTGCAATTTGCGAAACGTTGTCAATACGGCTCCTCGACGCTGAAATAAAAGTAGGCTATATACGTGATTATCTGCTCCACCCTCGATTAGTCACAACTGGTCCTTGTTAAGGGGGTTGGTTGCTCGAGCACTGATTATAGAAGAACCGGGTATACCACCTGTCGTTCCGATTTCAGGCACCTCAATCTCAGGTAACGCCTGGTGACGGTATTGTTCGGCTATTTGTCGTCGACTATCAGCGACGGGATTATTTCCCTTACGCCAAGGGAAACCCGGATGGGTTTTCCCCGCGGCTCGTTCCGCAGGCATGTCTTTCTCCTTGTACTGGAGGAAACCTCTGTACGTGGCCCTCGAATGTCTTTTAATTTATGAGTCCTGGAAAAACCAAGCCGATTTTCTACAAAGTATTACTTTATTTCGGCGCAGCTCCAACTCAGGCTTATACGTATGGTTGCCTTGTAAGAACAGTTACCGTATTTACAGAATTAATGAAAAGGATTTTATTATACCGGAGTTGTAACATATGAACATTTCTGTTGACTGCTTGTACATATGGCTTGCCAATTTTGAGAAACCTTATAAAAGTACATATAGCCTTTTGCAATATTTTTGTTCGAATATTAATCATAGAAACTTATTGCTTTTTTATAGCAAACTTTTATTACTCTTACTGTTTGATATAAGGCATTGTTATATTATATCGAAAATATTATTTTGCGAATAAACCGTAAATCTGTATACGTTTGTAGCTTTTAAAATTTGTCTCCCAAAATCGCACCAAATAATATTCCGAGCAGTAAAAAGGGGTTCGCTGAGCGTTATGAAGATGACGTTTGCGCTATATTTTGAAAGAATGGGGTTGATTGTGTTCAAGTTTCGTCATCAAATAATCATAATAACATTCTTTTTTAACTGACCGGGATATTGGGGTTTCCTGCGCAAAGTATTTTAAATTTCATAATAGAAATTGAAATGAGGTGGCTGGATGATGCGAGGACCGAAGGGTTGGATCGATGATCTCGTTCAAGGTACAGGTTGAAAAGCTTGTGACTTATTTCTCGATGTCATCGAAACTCGATAATTCATTTAGTATGTGATAATTGATCGTTTCACTAAAGTATGGAGTGACGAATATATTTTCTTGTTTTGTTTAAAGTTGGTTGAGCCAGATTGTTCATCGTGCGCGCGGACAACCGTAATTATTGTGCCCCGAATGAAGTCATTAATAGTTATTACCTACGACGTCTATGCTGTAATTGATATATCGTTAACGGACAAGGATCGTCCGACTGTACTGCTCTAATTGATCTTGATGAGGCCGCGCAACGGGAAAAAGATTACATGTTTCAGGCTTGCGACTCGTGCGCTCGTTGTCGCCGGATTCTCGGTTCGCGTCGAAAGAAACGGGGAACAATTTATAGAACAGAAATTTACATTTCACTAGAACCTGTTGCCGTTTGTACAACTGTAAACAGTTCCATGATATCTATAATTTCTGTACATCAAAATCCAAGTTTTGTAACACTTCTAGAACCAGAGAAAATATTTTTCTTCTATATTAAAAGTGAAATAAGACAAGTAAATCGAAGTTTGGAAACAATAGAAGGATATTTTTGTTCTAACTGGATAGAACTCTTTGATTGCTTTATACAGCGAATTATTTTCGGTGTTATCGGAGATCTTCGGTGTCACGAGGGGGTGAACAATGACGCATTAGAGACGGCAGGAGGAGCACGATGACAGGAAGATGTCTATGATTCGTTATGGGCTCGCGAAGATATTCGAGATACCCCGAATGACCAATTCTCTTTACATTTCCGCCGATACAAGCGTTGTGTGTATTCCAGTCAGGTTATCCAACAATGGCCGTTGCCGTACCTATCGTTACCCGGCGTAACGACATTCCATTTCTGGCCTCGAGCCACATTTTCCTGCACGTAATCCTGCGAATCCCCGGACGAATCCTCCACCTCCTCCCCTTACGTACGTTCCACCTCCGCGTGGACGGAAAGCTTCGTTCCGTTCTCTCAAAAATATCGATTCAAGTATCGAACGCCAATGTTCGTACAATATGGATACCATTGTTATCCCTCTTCAACTTCTATCCGTGCCATCCGTGCTACGCCTGTCTTTCGACGCTAAATCTTTGGGTTTGATCTCTACTAACCAAAACAGATGATTCATTTTGTGAACAGATAATTTGTAAATTCTCTACAGCTTCTTGATTCTCCAATCAATAAGTATACATAGAAATTTCACCAGGAAATAGATATTTGTTTGATAATTCTACGACTCAGGTCAGTTCTCCAAATGTTCACCTCGTTTGTTTCTATACACAATTCTCATATATTTCCTCTAAACATCCGCTGAAACATACGACTCCCGTTTCCCTATGAGCAATAACTCTCATCAAAAAGTCGCGAAGTTCCGCGCGCATTTCGTCCGAAGAAAGGGGAAAAAAGAGAGCATCCCCTTTGTTGCGTCTAGGTCACAACGAGATTCCCTTCGCGATGCATTTTCAACCCCCGGCGAGGAGGTAATACGCGGACAAGTCCTCCTTCCACTGGGCGCGTAGTCGTCGTCATTTCGCTCGGGGTGGGTTAGGTAGACACACGTAGACAGGATACAGTGCCCGCCCCGAGGATCCTGCAAGGTCCTTTCAGGAACGTCGATCCGCATACTGGCAGCCTCGCGGTATATTTTCGCGGTCCAGTGAGCGAGTTATTCAATATGCTCAACCCCGAAAGCCCCGGAGCAATCTCCGTGCTCGCACGTACCCCGCACTTGTACACGTACACACGCATACAACACAGGTCTAACTACCATCGAGTCGAAGCTTGGCTCTTTCTGTATGCACGTATATGTGTGTATCTCTCTCTGTGTGTATTTGTGTGTCTGTCGAGCAGGGGCGGTCTCGCGTCGCGCTAGCGCAACGATTACGTTCGTGTGCCGCGTCTACACACCGGCTATATATCACGAGGACGAGCCTGGGACACGTACTGTCCCTACCTGCTGGTACCTACACGGCACTCTCCGCTGTACGAGCGCAATCGGTCACGTTCCGCAACGCGCTACGTTGCGGGAACTCTCGCGGATCGTAAAGTTCCCTCGGTGACTGCGGCCAACAACCACGGGTCGCATAATTTGCGCGACAAACCTTGTGGGGGCGACACGCGTTTTCAGTTAACACTGATTTGTCTTTATTACTGGAGGGTGTCCGATGCGAAGAGCTTCGAGAAGCTTGAATAGCTGAGTTCGTTTGGTTGAGATCGCCGGTACTGCGGGGATATTTTCAGATGATTCTTTGGATTCTTTGCGTTATTATAGCGTAGTTGACTCTCGAGAGGTGACTCTTGGTCGCCATTTGATTTGATACAGCAAAGTTATAAAGTGTTATTATTAACATATGAAACATTTCAATAAAGTAGCTTTGTTTCTTAATTTATGTATGCCTTCTCATTAGTTAGCTTCAAAGAATGTATTTCATCAGAAAATGTTGCAAGTGTTTCTAGTGAAGAACTATCGAGTGCAAAGGGTTTAAGATTATCGACGAATGTCCGTGCAGATGCAGAACTTTGTTGGTTGATTTAGGGAAGGGTCAAAAGAAAACCGAACTTACTGTTTAAAATCGAAAAACAAGTCTCGAAATGGTTGCACGTTCAAGGGATTTTGTATCATCTTTCTTTCGCGGAGATGAAATATCAAACTGCGACGTTTCGGGATATCGTTGGTAGCGGTAGTCGCGGGGTTCACGCCCAGCTACCGGGCTCCTCCCGGTGTACAAACCCGTTTGTAACTCGAATACAAATTTCCAAGAGCGTTACATCGGAGAAGATGTCGGGGAACCTCTCGGAGCGG